TTTCATGAGTTTTATCGTTTTAAATGGGGCATTTTTTAAAATATTTTTTTGTTTTACCAGAAATACAATGACATGGAAGATATAAAATAATTACATTTTCTTAAGGAAATTTTAAGTGCTACAAAATGATATATTAGTTGTTATTTTAAAATAAAATTTTTGAGTACTTTGAGATTCGTTAAAAGAAGAAAAGGCTCTCATAGAACTTTGATATTTCATAACTCGGGATACATTTGAGCTAAAGTATTAAATTTGGATTTGTAAAAAATAATCAATCTAACCTTCATACAAGTTTTATCCCCTTTTAAAATTGTCTTCCGAATCACTGATCAATTTGTCATAGAATTATCCAAATTAAAATATTTAGCTTATATTATAAATTATATAACATACGAGTAAGAAATTATATAATTTTAACAAATACAAATAGGGAATTCAATTCGTACAAATATGAATAAGGAATTATTTAATTCATAGCTCATTCTCATTCCATTTGAAATCAAACACCTTTCGATTGACCTCTTTTCAATTTTGATAAAAATTTTTATCTTAGCTTACTAGTTTATATTGACAGAAAATGGGGAAAAGATACAAAAATCGGCTTTTTAAATCTTATTGAGGTTTAATAATTCGTTTTGAATAGAAGCTAAATTAGTTTCAATATAGAATCTAATATTAATAACTATCAATTGAAAATTTTGAAAGAAGCTTCATAATTAATTTTTTATAAAATATTGGTCATCTTATGTCTATTTGAAAGTTTAAAGGCTTTTCTTAATTTTAATCAATATATTTGCTAATGAGCTAACATTTTTTTTGATTTAACAGAAACATATGTAAACTATCGAAATTAAAAGGGGATTGCCAAAAATCTCATTTTTCTTGCTCATTTGACATAAAAATGGTCCACGTACCAATAATATAATTATTCGATTCGAAAATAAAAATCGAATATGATTAATGCAAAGTATTAAAAATTGAATTGAAAATGAAACACCGTTTTACTATATTTTAAATAGTGATGTTAAGGTAACTAGTTACATTTTGGCTAAAAAATAACTGTAACTAGTTATATTTTTAAAATTGTAACTGTAACTAGTTAAAATTTTTGAAATGTAACTGCCAAAAGTAACGAGTTACTTTTAAATATATATTCAACTAATTAATTTTATTTTTAATATGTTGTGATAAATTAATTTTAAATTAAATTTATTTTTAAATTAATTTTAAATTATATTTATTTTTAAATTAAATTTATTTTTTAAATTAAAATTTATTAATTTTTAAAATTTTGTGAAAATGTCTGATTGTTCCCAACAATAACACAAATACTTATATGTATGGCAGATGTGTAGGGATTAAAATATTGTCAACCTCTAAAGGATACTATATTAGCTAGTATTGAAAAAAGGTAACTAAAATCAAATAATTATTTATAAATTAATAATAACATGTTATAGGTTTAATAATCTTTATGATAATGACAACATCATTGCTGCAATTCTTCACCCTTTATTTAAAACTGACTGGCCTTGGATTATGCAAGAAAGGAATAAAGCAAAAAAGGAGGAAATTTTAAATTTAATAAATACCTTAATAGGGGAGACCGGGGTAAAACGATAGGCATTTTGCATATTTACCATAAAAATTTTAAACAAGAGTCAAACACAACAAATTATAGATCAATGTGTAGCCCCATCCCTCTTCTACAAGATAAAAAAAAGTGTAGCCCTCTATCTATAATATTTTAGGAGCTATGATTAGTTATGTAAAACTACTCATTTTCGCCATTTTCTGGGTACAGGGTAAAATGGATAAGCACTAGGGTAAAGTGGTTAAAATAATATTTGACACATATTTATTGTTTTATTTAACAAATATTACAAATTTAAGATTTATTTATGATTTTTATTTAAAAATTAATCGATACAACAAGGACATGTAAAATAATTATCATAATTAGCACATTTAGAATGTGCCCATTCAAGGCACATTGTACATTTTAGCCATTCATCGCCCTCGCGACTATTTTTATAGTTTTTATTACAAATATCACATAAACAATTATTTTTTGATAACTTTTTTTATCTCTGAATTAATAATTTTTTTTTATAAGGTGTAGATGTTAATATTTCTGAATTCTTTTTTTTAGATATTTTATCCGATGAAATATTGAATAATTTTGGAATAGGTATTATAGATGAAGAATTGAATACTTTATTATAATTTTTTGAGCATGATGGTAACATATCATGATAAGGTTCATCAATATCATCTGGAACATTTTCGTTTAATAATATAGATAAATCACTATCATTATTTTGAGTCACTGTAAGATTTTGAGTCACTGTAATATTTTCATCATTATTTTCAAATTCAATATTTGAGCTAGCATTTGAATTATTACAGCAGATATAATCTTGTTCTGTAAATATATTTGGGTTTAAAGGAAATATGCCACATGCTAACAACCCATTTAATATATTATTTGGTGTCACTGCCCTTGGTATTTCATTTTTTAACACTCCTGGAATATCATAAATCTGAAATTGTTGCCCACATGATTTCTCATCCATGTGTCAATAGCTCCATTATAAAACTTTTTCAATGGCCCATAAACTGCTCTGTCTAATGGTTGGAGTTTATGCGAGCAATGTGGTGGAAGTGTTAGAATAACAATCCCATTGGAGCGACAATAGTTTATAACGGAAATTGAACAATGAGAGCTATGGTTATCTAAGATTAATAAGACATTTTTCTCATTGGATGCACTAGAATATTTTTTAAAGTGTTCCAAAAAAGATAAAAATTCCTCCTCTTGCATCCAACCCGATGCGTTTCCCACACCCTTAGATCCAATAGGCCCATCACGAATAAAGTGATCTTTGTATCGTTTTCTTGGAAAAATAAAAAATGGTGGAATGCTATGGCCTATAGCATTGATGGCTAAACATATTGTAACTAATGTTCCTCTTTCTCCTGACGTTATAAAGCCGACTGTTTGGCACCCTTCTGTGCTATAATTTCTGCAGGAGTTTGAACGGTGGTGAAACCACTTTTATCTGTATATTATGTGGTTCAAAGTTATAAGAATTATATAGCTTAATTAAATTTTCAAAAAATTTATTGACATTTGTGGGATTGAAGCCATATGCTCTTGCTAGACTAGTAGCTTCAGGGGTACGAATCGAAAGTTGGGAATGTCGTTTTCTAAACCCCATAAACTAGTCCTCTCCAGCCATACCATTAGTTGTCCAGCTTTCTGGGAAAGATTTGCCATATTCTTTAGCAAGCTGATATGCAAATCCTCTTATCTTGTTTATTTATAAAATAAAACAATTTCATTTTAATAATTAACAATACCAGTTCCATAGAGTTAAAATGATATATAATTAATTAAATAAATTGAATTAATTTCATAATTTTAATAATGCTCAATTGGTAACTTTAATGTTAAATATCAATATTTATTTGATTATAATAAATGAATGAATGAAAAATTTAATGTGAATAATTTTATATTTTAACCGTTTTACCCATAACAGCTTTACCCCTAGGTGACATATATTATATATATCGTTATTGCGTGACTTCTAATATAGCTAAAGATGTCAGATAAATTTTATTTTATAGTTAATACATTAAGGAACATGTGTGCCAAATTTTGAATCCCGAGGATATGTAAATTTTACTAAAAGCAAAATATACTAGAGATTGATTTTTATATTTTTTGGGTAAAAAACAGTTTTTTGACAAAATATATAAAACCAGGTAAGTTTTTTAAAAGATGAACATAGGTAAGAAATTAGATATTACATCTTCACACCAAATTTTAGGTCTTTATACTCAATGGTTAAAAAGTTATTCGCGTTAACATTGTTACCCCGTCAATCGCTTTACCCCGGTCTCCCCTACCTCAAAGTGAATCCCAAACGAATGAATCATGCTCAAAACCAACATCACTTGATGTAGTTGAATTTTTTGACCTAAAGCGCCAAAATATTCTGGATAATGAACTTATAGAAAACTTTATCAAATCTAATAACAACACTTTTTCTTTATATAACGATTTTCCAAAGTTAAAATTACTCTTTATTAAATATAATGTTGTTCTAACATCAAGTGCTCCCGTAGAGCGCTTATTCAGCCAGGTAAGCTGGTTTTTGGAGATAAACGAGCACGTCTCCTAGATAATAACTTTGAAATTAATTTGTTGTTAAAAGCAAATAAACATTTATTAGATTCTAATTTTTATGAAAAATAAATGTTTTTTTTTTCAATGCAAATATATATTTTTATATTGGATGTAAATATTCAATTTTGCGATATTTTTTATATAAATAAATTGTATATTATTTTAAATAACTGATTATACTTTGTTTATCCTAATTTTTTTTATATTAAATAAATGCATTCAATAAATAAATAATGCGCATATAAAGGATGTATAAAGTAAGTAACTAGTTACTTTTGAAAATAACTGTAACTAATAACTAGTTACTTTTGTAAAAATGTAACTAGTAACTGTAACTAGTTATGTTTTTGTCAATGTAACTAGTAACTGTAACTAGTTATGTTTCAAAAGTAACTTTTAACATCACTAATTTTAAAGCAAAAGAAGTTAATTTAAAAAAATTAAATAAGTTTAGTATATTTTTATAATTTTCAAACATTTTGGAAAATTCAAATTTTATTTCTTTCTATCTATGGATTTCATTCTTAGTGTATAACATTTTTTTAAACTTTCATAAAATATTTAATATAGCGGTATTATTTTTAAAGATAAAATATTTTATGACAAATATTATCTGGCAGAGTTTACAAAATTCTTTCCTATTTAATATTACATTACTTTTTATAAACCAACGACCTAACTTATGAAAAGCTATATTTAACCTCGTGTAAGCAAATAAAATTCAGTCTCCTTTATGCATTATTTATACAGCTTACAAATACAAACCAAAATTAATAATAAATATGAATCCCCTTTAAAATTACAGGTCAGGCTAGATCACGAAAAACGTTTATTGTCTTTTGGCACTGATTACACTATATCAGAACGGGAAGATGACAACTCGGACTGCCCCCAACTCCAGGCTCTTCCTACAGAAAGGATAAGGGCTCAACTCATTTTCTTGGCTCAAACACTCGATAACGGCCTATCCCTCCTACCATTGGTTCATTTGCAAGTATATTAATATTTTATCTTCTATACTTTATTCATAATTTTTATAAAATTGAAATAAAAAATGAATATATTTGTTAAAAGTTTTTTAATATTTAAAATATTATATACAAAAGTATTTATATTTAGTATTTAAATATTAAATACTCGCATTATTACCCAATCTTGACTAGAAGAATCATAAAAAATATGGTTTTATATAATTATCCCTTTCGCGCTCTACTTTTTTTCCTTCGATGAAATTTTTTTTTAAGAGATATTTATTATAAACCTAAATAACACATTTTCATCAAAAAAACTTAATTCGAGTATTTCTATCAAAAGATATTCAATGATTCCAATTAGAGATCTGCAAAGTTTGGCCCGGCCCGGTCCAAACGGGCTTTGGGCCGGGCTCGGGCCTTATTTTATTTAAAATAATCAGGTTCGGGCCGGGCCTAATATTTTTTAAAAAAAATCGGGCCGGCTCGGGTCGGATTTTGGAATTATTTTTAAATATATCTAAATTTATCAATTTTATATTGAATTTTTTATGTAAAATAAAAATATTTTATTTTATTTATTGAAACTAAACTACATATAACATATATCTTTTATTTTGAGTAATTTTAAAAATTAATTTCTATATTTAAATAGGGCCAGACCGGGCCGATAAATTTTTTTTAAAAAAATTTTGGGTTCGGGCTGGGCTGCAAAACTTTTTTAAAAAAATTTCGGGTTCGGGCTGGGTCGGCATAACTTTTATAAAAAAAATTTGGGCCAGGCCGGGCTTGAAAAATTAGGCCCAATGCAGATCACTAATTCCAATTGTCATCAATGGGCAAAATGCAAGTTCATTTAAAAAATATTTTATTTCATATGAAATGATAAATACGTTTATTATTTAAACATAAATATATATTACATTTTTGGCACATAATTCTTGAATAAGCTTTGCAATACTTGCATCTTTGCTTAATAGTTACGGGCTTTGGAAAATGACCTACTTGGTCATATCTTATATCCGATATGGGGCAATATTGATAGCTTTTCTTCTTTTTACAACTACACTTGAAGGTCTGCCGGTCTTCTTAGTATTTTCCTTTCCCACTAGCATCAACCCTTTTGCTATCTGAAATTTAAATACCAGTAGTGTCATAAATTTTATATTATTTAATGCTTTCATATGACGTCTATAGAGGAGCCAGGCATTTACTACGCAAGAATTCAATAAATGAAAAACCATTCGCATATAATATCTTTTCCATTTAATATCTGTCCAATATAACTCCACGTGAAGATCTACTCCACCCATTCCCTCATTATAGTTTTTAATTATTGCGGGCATTTCTACATTTATAAAGACTTTATCCGAAACAGACCATCGCTTAGCTTTGGTTGTAGGTAAAACACCTAGATATAGTAGTAACAGCTTTGTTGTCCTGCCACTTGCAGATAATACATTCTTTTCGCTTTTATAATCTATAGTGTCTCTTCCTTCTTTTTTTAAAGCCTTATCATTTTTAAGTGTGCACCCTGATAAGCGATTTGATTTCACTCTAACAAATTATCTACCTTAAATGTTTTATCTATTATTTATGTAATTATAATATTCATCATCGGGTATTGACATATTACCACAATTATCATCGCCCCATTTGTCATAAAACGATTCAGTTTGTTTAACAACAGTCGTAATTTGACTGGTCGATGGTATTTCATTTACTTCCTGAGCCTCTTGTAATTTAATATAATCTTTTATATAGTTTTCCGTCATTTTGCGATCTGTCCCTGACTACATACGTAATTGCTTGAATTTGGGACAGAGAAAAAGAGAAATAAAATGATACTTGTGTAAAACAAATTTTTCAATTAAAATGCTTTATATTAAGTAAAATCAATTTTATTTCTCCTTTTCGCTTTGAAAGGTATTACAAACTTTAAGAAGTATATTCATTTATTTGATTGTTTTGGTAAAATATATTCTAAAAATTTAGATATAAATTATAAAAAAATATATTAATAATACTTGAATATTGGGGCTTATTTAAGATATTCCTTTATTTGATTGTTTTGGTAAATTATGTTGTAAAAATTTAGATATGAATTATAAAAAAATATATTAATACTTTGAATAAATTTGCAGGAAATTAATAATTAGATCGATCTGTGGGTTGTTAGGTAGTGTTAACCATCACCCAATTTTATATTAATCATAACTATAATATAATATAATCTTATAACTATTAACTCATAATGTAAAAATTTTTATAAAAAATATTAAGGCCTGGCCTGGCCCGGGTTTAACAATTTTAGGCCCGGTCCGGATATATTTAAAAAAAAATTTTTTAGGCCTGGCCCGGATATGTTTAAAAAAATTTTTTTTAGGCCCGGCCCGGGTATATTTAAAAAATTTAAAATACGGCCCGGGCCGGGTTTAGGGCCGGGCCTGCAGGTCTCTGATATATATACGATATCAAAACCTTGGCGACGCTATCGACTTTTCCGAAATATACATTTTTACCATAAATTGAAAAAATGTAGATGGCGCTAATGGTTGAAAAATATTATTCTTAAGGAAAATGAAAATATTGATACGTTTATAAGAATTGGTGATAAAATTTTCCAGTTCTGCCCTCCCCCCCCTCTCACTATCCTTAAAATGTTTTACATTTTTTAGATCTCTACTTTGCTACTATAGCGAGCGAATGACTTATTAGCTCGATAATATATAACAGCTGCAGTAAAAACGAATACTTTATTAGGCATATATTCGATTATATTTTACAAAATAAATTGTTTAAAACGATCTCTCTTTCTGCGAAATAATTTTAACCTGTCCGTTCAGATTAATTTTATCGTCTGTCTACCAATAACAATCTGGATTTGGAGAGTGCAAAAACCAAAAATTAGCAAACATTTCTTATACTTCAAATGGTAGATATTGATTCTCCTCTTCATATAATTAATCAAGAGGCTATTGATAACATTAATATATCTCTACAATCAAATGGGGAATCTCTCATTAAAAGAAAACGCTTATGTGAAAAGAAATATTTGAAGAAAAAAATATCTAGAGTAAAAAAAGTTTTAACAACTAAAATTATACCATTATCTTCATCAAGTGATGAAAAATTTGATGAAATTGCAGATAATTTAAAAAATTATATGAAAGATATTTATTATTGAAAATTTGTTACATTATTAAGTGTCTAATGGGCATATGCCCACTCTGCCTATCAGTTAATTAGTATATTTAATAGAAAATCAAAATTTTTTAGTATAAAAAGTGAAAATATCTGGTTATTGATAAGTTAGCAGCAAAATTTTAACCATAATCCGTAATTTCATAAAGCGCCATCTATTTTTTTATCAATTTTTGGAGTCGATAGCATCGCCAAGGTTTTGATATTGTATATATATTTAACAAAGGTGTCTAAATAAAAAGCAATAAAAAAAATTGGAAAACAAACTCACTATTTTGCTTAAAAATACAGATAAAGCAATTTAGGTAAACCGGATATTAAAAGCCTATAATAGCGCCAATATTTATTTTTCTTTGTTAGCCCATTAGAGAATTTCTTTACCTACAAAATGATATATTATAATTTTTTTTACTATAAATAGTTTTTATATAAGCATTTTAAAAATTTTACAGATTCCAAAGTGGCGCTTTTTTGTTCCTTTGAGCCCCTATATCTCGTGAACCAGTTGTGCTAGCGAGATAAAATAAACGGCTTTCTCACTCTTTTACCTATCTAAATAATTCCAGAAATTTTTAACAATTTTAAAAGAGGCCGGCCGAATCGTGATTGATTTGACGTGGAATGGCCCATATGATTTATGGTTTTTATTTCAAGGTATTATTTCTCACAGGCGAAGAACGATATCCCCACTGATACCTAAACATGATTTTATGATATTAATAGACTTTCCCAGTTATATTTCAAAATCATACATGAACTCGGAAGAGCCACATAGGGCAAACACTTTTATCCCCCATTTATAGGGCTTCGATTAAATGTATTGTCGTAATTTAGAACGTCCCTTGAAGGGAATTATGAATTCGTCTACAGTTAGCTTCTCTTCAAGTTGATTTTTTTAAAAAATTTTTTATTAGTTGGCATATGAAGGGTTGAATTTTGAATAATTTATTGTATCCTTCACCATCCCTATTTACCATATCTTTGTTATTATTAATATGGAAAAATTTCCGGATCAAAAGGAAACGATTTCGGGACATAGTTTCCGCTACCTGTGGAATAGATGTTTCAACAGACCAATATTGTCTTATAGAAGGCATCTTAACTAAGCTAGTATATAAATGTATCCCAATAAATCTTTCGATTTCATCACTATCTGTATTTATAGATTTACCACAACATTGGAAGGAATAAATATTTGTTTTCGATACGAAATTACTAATTATCTGGTGGTCCAAAAATTTACGAAAATATGTTAGAGGAGTTGAATCCTGTTCAGGAATTTCCAAAATAGGGATAAATTCTGTATTAATTTGTCCGATATCTTTCTTAGACCAAATCGGGTTATCTTTTATTTTAGTTATTGTATCTTCTACTATATCCTCCAATTGAAGACCTAGTTCACTCATAATAGAAGATGATGTCGGCAAATCATCTCCCAGCAAAGGATAATAATTATCTTCTTCGTCTGAGCTCTCTATATCGGCCTCAGATATATCACCCTCGGGGATAAGTGTAGTCATATCTAAATGCATATTGATATAAAAAGCATCTCATATTTCATGTTATTTATAAAAAAATATTTATTAGAATCTCTCTATATCCAAGAAAACCCACTTATAGATATTAGATAATTAATACAGGTAATAATTACGAAAATTTAATTACCCCCCCCCCCCCCCATCTAGTTTTCATTAGTGATCTGCATCGGGCCTAATTTTTCAAGCCCAGGCCAAACCCGAAATTTTTTTAAAAAGTTTTGCCAACCCGAACCCGAAATTTATTTTAAAAAAATTTACCAGCCCGGCCAGGCCCATATTTATTTATATATAGAAATTAATTTTTGTAATTACTTAAAATAAAAGACATATGTTATATAGCGTTTAGTTTCAATAAATTCAAAATTTATTATTTTACATAAAAAATTCAATAGAAAATTGATAAATTTAGATATATTTAATAAAATTTCCATAGTCCGACCCGACCCGGCCCGAAATTTTTTTAAAAATATTAGGCCCGGCCCAAACCCAATTATTTTAAATAGAATTAGACCCGAAGCCCGTTCGGGCCTAACTTTACAGATCTTTAGTTTTCATAACCCTAAAAGTAAATATCCTAAATAATTTGCCTAAAATTTCCATTTATTGATAAATTAATATTTTGGTGCATAAGAAATGACCATTGATGCCAAATGGCAGCTCAATTTCACCTAAAATGATTAAAAAGATGATAATTTTTAAATAAAAATATTACTTATATTTTTAGCAAGATTTGATTAACCAGAAATATGAGTTAAAATTTTGGCGCGAAAATGATACGAAAAAATTGATTTTTTATAAATATAATATAATATAATAACATGACAAAGCGAGTTAGTGATAAAATACGAAACAGCAAATATTAAAAATTAAAAATATGATTACAAAAGTTATCAGTGGCCATTTTTAATGCATAAAAAATATTATTGAAAAATTATGATTCCAAAAGTTATCAATGGGCGCGAAAGGGTTATAAACAAAAGTATAATAAGAGTATTTGTATTTTTTCAAGAACCAAAGGATCTTATATCTTAGATACTAGTATTTATAGTACTGCCCAAACTCCCATATATTGCCATCTATATTATGTATTTAACATTCCTTGTGAGTTTCAGCACCCAAAAAATATTTTAAATTTTTCCTGGAATAAGAAAACACCGGAGATTTTAAATTTTTAATTGATTATTTCGTATGGGAAAATTTTAAGTACAAAATGATATAATTTCTGACTCTACCATAAGTAAATAAAAAGATTTGCACCATTTTAGACTTTAAAATATGTACATAATATATCATATCGGAATCTGTTAAAAATTATTAGGATCTGGAATTTTTTATTAAGGCATAGAAATAATTTATTATTCAGCATTTTTAAAAATGCATAGTATCGAATCTGTTTTTAAAAGTATTGACCGATTTGACGTATTCTTCAAAAAGTTCATATCTGTATTGTTCATACTGAAATATTATTTGAATCCCAGCCCATATTTTTGGGGGTAAAATCAATCAGCTAATATATTTAACGAATTAACACCAAACCTTTGCTCATATCTCTTGTATGCTATTTTTCAATCGGGTCTTGCCCATATGTGGATTCCTACAAGTTTATCCTGTGACAATAGTTGGCACCATATTTATGGACTGCAATAAATTTCTCACCTTCATTTTGATTTTTGTGATTTGTTAATTTTGAAGCATGGAAATAGTAGCATTTTTGGTTTATTAGAAATGGCTTTTTGCATTTAAAAAATTCTGCTTTTCTTACCATTGCAGTTCTAATTGCTGTAAACTATCAAGGACAATATTATTTGTTTAGATAATAATACTCATTTTTTTATCCATCATGACATTTAGATTTTAAAAATTTCTTTATATATCACATAAGAAAAATACGGAGGCTCAACAACTTATTTTGATCAAACGATTTCAAGAAACTGCAACAGAAGATTTTCATAAAGTTGGTCAGCGTCTCGATGTCATTGATAATAGACGGAAGAAATTGGAGGATATTCAAAAGGTTTTTATTGATTTATTTATCAATTGTAATTGAAAATGTTATACAAAAAGGACAGTCAAAGTTCAGTCATTATTATGTTGTATTATTTTAAGTGGGAGTAAATTTTGAGTTACAAGATGCGCCTAAAAAATATTTTGGCCGCTTAAAATATACCGACTCATACATAATACATTATTAGCAAGCTAAACAGTGAAGAATGAGAAAAAGTCAACCTTATTTTAATTTGAAGTTAATATATTATTTTATTATTGCCTAAGAATTCAACATTGATAACTAGTATAGCTTTATGCAACAAATATCAGAGACCTGCAGGGGCCAGGCCGTATTTTAATTTTTTTAAATATACCCAAGCCGGGCCTAAATATATTATTTTTAAAATACTTGGGCTGGGCCTAAATTTTATTTAAAAATACCGAGGCTGGGCCGTATATTTTAAAAACAAACATGCCTGGCCCGAAAAAATGAACCGGGCTGTGCAAATTACCTCTGCAAGGTTCTGACAAATATATTATTAAAAAATTTATTTTATTTATTTCAAAATAATTTATATAAATATGTAACTAATTTTTATATTAGATTTATTTTTAACGCAAGCTGTCACTAATGACACTTAAAATATATAAAATTCTAACTTTGACCAGTTAAAAAGTTTTGTGCTGCTGAGCATTATTAGAAAACCTTTATGGTAGTCATACTGCTAGCATTCGAGCAACTTACCAGATTTAACCATACATCAAATCTAAATTAATATTATAGATAAGTTTTTTTTAATTTATAAAAATTAACAATTAAAAGCAGGGACCCAAACAAAGGCATATTTGTGCCCCATTCCCGTTCCGGCCAAAAAATATGTCCGTTCAAGTTTTAGAACGCTTTCCTAGAAATATCTTTTCTACCTTATTACATATTATACCGATGACTCTTTAGCATTAATTAAGACATTTTATTATCATTTATATTTGTGCGGCATTTTAATTGAGTTGCTAATATCTCAACACTAATTAACCATATTATCTATTGAAATTTAAAACTTTTTTTATACAGATTATTTTTGTGTATTAGATACAATTTCTAAATTTTATATATATCTAGATACATTATCAACTCTGCTAATTTGATATCAATAATATCTATTCAAATTTCAAACTTACACAATGACAATATTAATTTAATGACTATGTCGTGATAAATAAAACATTTTCTTATAGATTATCATATATATTTGTGGTTAATAATAATTTGAGTATTGAAACTAACTTAGTAACAATATCATCCATTAAAATTTAAAACTTTTATACAAAATTAATTTTTTAATAAATTTAAATCATGTAATTACTGAATAATTGGTAATAATTTTGTAAGGTAAAGCAAAATGGAATTAAGAAAATAAAAAACGAATATTTAACATTTATGAATGAATCATTTTATATAATTATGTAATAAATAAAAAAAAAATTCATGAATTTCCTTCCCGAAAAGTTCCCAGTTTTGTACCTGATTATAAATTTATAACCTTTGCTAATAAAAAAATTAATGAATTTCATGAAAATGGATTAGTTAAATTTTTTGATAGTAAAAATAATTCTTTAAATATTAACGAATTCCCAAATATACGTCGTTATCACAGCAGAAGTTGTGTTAAGTACTGAACGTTCTTGTTTATTCTATTACATTTTGAAAGCAATATCAGAATTAAAAGCAAATGGTTTTCATTAAATAAAGAATTGTTAAAAAATGAATTGTAATATAATAATTATATATTTTATTTAGCAAATTAAAAATTTTTATTGATAACTATGTTTTTTTAATCATAATATTATATATTGAAAGTTTTTAAACGTTTCTTTTTTAGGTTCGTAACGTAAACGACGTTTCATTTGTAAAGTAACAGTTTCAGCCCCTATATTTTTCATATTTTTTTGTTATAAACGATAATTAATCAAATTTATACAAGGAATGATTTTAGATATGGATGATATAAAATATATATAATTTTTATAATAATTTAAGTATCATTTTTAATAAAATATTTATTCTATAATTTTCAATGGTGAATTTATAGGAAATTAATAAATTATAAATTTATTAACTTCAAATTAAATTAAAGGTCACTCCTGGTTATAAATTTTTTGTTTGTTAATAAGTATATTTATATTATTTATAGGCATGCATAGCTCTAAAATTATTACAAAATCTCGTTTTAAATAAAATATTACATTTTATATCATCTGTGACTTGATTTAGCGCTTTATATTGCATTTTTATTTCAAAGACTTGAGTTATATCAATTTTCGAACATTTAACTAAATTTATGATAGGATATGATTAAAGAAGCCAAGCAAAATAAGTTGAAATTGGAAGAAAAAGAGGTCATAGCCAAGCGGGAACAAGAAAATAAAGAAAAAGAACTCAGCAAAATGCAAGAACGCAAGATGATGGAACATACAAATTACCCTAACAAATCACTGGCTACTAATATAAATAAAGGAATCAATGACAGAGTATCACTTATTATTAGAATTCACAATTTTTAAATATATAATATTTTAATTATTTATTTTAGTCATAGATGATATTTCTTATATTAATTTATATTATATTGAGTAAAATTACTGGAATAAATTCTTTAAACTTTATTATACTACATTAGGATGCCACAACAATTTACAATATAAACGAAGCTGGTGATCTTAAGAAAACGCAGAATAAAATAAATCAGGATTTAATAGCCAAGTTAAAAACGCAATACAAAAAAGTATGTTTTACATATATTTTTTTACCATAAACCCTTTCGTGCCCTACATTTTTCCCTTAAGCAAAAAGTTTTTTTTTACCCTAAAACTTAGTTAAACAAACACAAATAACACATTTTCAAAGTTTTTTAATTAAAAAAGTGCCTATATATAGAATTATGAAATGTTGCCATTCATCATCATAGGGATATTTATATGTAAAAAAAATATACAATTTATTTTGAATGATAAAAAATAAAACAATTGCAATTTTTTATTTAAGCATGGAGATATTTTGCATTTTATACATTCGAATCTAGAATAGCCATTTGTGCATTTCTTGCATCTTTGCTTACTAGCCGCTGATGGTCAATGTCCTGTTTTATTAAATCTATTATCTGTGATTGGATGAAAACTATTCTATTACCTTCCTTTTTTCAATATTCAAAGTATATCTTCTTTTTTATCATTTTCCTTTCCAACCATCATCAATCCTTTATCTATCTGAGATTCAAATACTAAAAGAGATATATGTTTACTATTTTTCTGCTTCATGTGCCGTCGAGCAACCTTGGATTCACTACACAGGAATTTAATAAATAAAAGAAAATTCGCAAATTAAAACTCTTCCATTTTATGTCAGTTCTGTAGAGTTCAATCAACATATTCTTATGATTCACCCCACTTATACCACCGTTATGATCTTGAGTTATAGCGGACGGAATTTCGACGTTGAAAAAAGATTTATCAGTTACCGACCATCTCGTTCCTGATTTGGGATTGATATAGAATAAAATTTTAATTGATCTACACCTAGACATGTTATTGCACTCTCCAAATCCAGATTGTTATTGGTAGACAGACGATAAAATTAATCTGATCGGACAGGTTAAAATCATTTCGCAGAAAGAGAAATCGTTTTAAACAATTTTTTTGTAAAATATAATCGAATATATGCCTAATAAAATATTCGTTTTTACTGCAGCTGTTATATATTATCGAGCTAATAAGTCATTCGCTCGCTATAGTAGAAAAGTAGAGATCTAAATAATGTAAAACATTTTAAGGATAGTGGGAGGGGGGGGCCCAACTGGAAAATTTTATCACAATTCTTATAAACGTATCAATATTTTCATTTTCCTTAAGAATAATATTTTTCAACCATTAGCGCCATCTACTTTTTTCTTCAATTTTTGGTAAAACCAAGGTTTTTACATCGTATATATATTTATAAAAGGTGTCTAAATAAAAAGCAAAAAAAAATTCTAAAACAAACTCACTATTTTGCTTAAAAATACAGGCAAAGCAATTTAGGTAAACCGGATGTTAAAAGCCTATAATGGCACCCATATTTATTATTCTTTGTTAGCCCATTAGAGAATTTCTTTACCTACAAAATGATATATTATAATTTTTTTTACTAAAAATAGTTTTTTGAGATAGCATTTTAAAAATTTTACAGATTCCAAAGTGGCTCTCTTTTGTACCTTTGAGCCCCTATATCTCGAGAACCAGGTGTGCTAGCGAGCTAAAATAAACGGCTTTCTCATTCTTTTATAATTTCAGAAATTTTTAACAATTTTAAAAGAAATGTTAAAAAATAAATACTAATCTGTTAAAAAAAATTAATATTATTTTTACATTAAAAAATTTACTATTATTTTTACTATGTTAAATATAATTATATTCTCTTTGCTACTCTAAAAAAGTTAATAAATTGTCATAAACATATGCTTAGAAAAAAAGACCCATCTAGACTGTGATCCTAAATAAAAGATCAATAACGTATTTATTAAGATTTTTGTGGTTATCCACAGTAATAAAAAATAATGAAATTACCGAGGGATGTATATTTTTTTTACATTCCCACATACCATCACCAATATTCTTTACCCCATAATTAAGATAGTTGTGTATAGATTGAATGAGAATGTTATTTATCAAATCTGCACCACACTGTAATAACGATAGTGGACCCCATAACAGCAACAAAATGTGCTCACAAATTATCGCCTCATGAAATTCTATTAATAAGCGCAAAATGGATAAGATTAAAATAAAAGGTACTTTTTTTATAATAGTTTGTTATAAAATTGTAAAATAGCTTATTTTACAATATAGCATCCCAATAATAATCATATCTGTATGGGCTGCCTGCTTATATATGGCCCCAAGACATCTATACTCAATTGATTTTTTAATTTGATTACCAATACAATTCATATTTTTATGAAATATATTATATTATAACGATTTTTGAATAACGCCATCTACATTATATTTTTTATTTATAAAAATTTAAATAAAATAATAAATCATCGAGATTTTTGATTAAACAGTTTAGTGAATATCATCTCAAATCCCTTAATATTGATTTTTATTTTTGCCGAAAATAAGAAGACACTTGGAATTTTTTATGATATTTTCCAATGTAAAATTTTAAGGACTATAAAAGATATATAATTTGTAACAATATCTTAAGTATTTTTTTATTTGATTAGATTTAATGAAATCACGTATTGCCCGATTCGAGTTTGAAAGAGTATATCGTTGGATCTGGTTGAGCTAGCGCTCTAAATTTCGATTTTATTAAACAAGATAAATAACTTATAAGCAAAGTTTCATTCATTTTTCAGATGGTCAGGTCGATTTATCATGCGATTACCCATATATATTTTTTTTATTTAATAAAAAACTTTGAAAATATTATATTTTGTGTCTTGTTTACCTAAGTTTTAAGAAGAAAAAATTTTTTTGTTCATGGGAAAAACTTCGGACACGTTTGCTAAATAAAAAGCCAAAAATACGTTTTTAGAAAAAATATAATATTCTTCGATTTGATTTTTTGGAGGCCTATAAATGTCGCTCATTTTAATAAAATAGGATGAAACAAGTAAGATATTGATTTTTTTCTTTAATTTATCATAGAATAATTATTTAAATAAATAATATATTTTTTATTATTAAAATACAACTATTAATCTAAATTATTCAAATAAATACAAAAAAATATTTATATTTAGCACATTCAACCCCCTATATATTACATTCTTATAATATTATTAGACAAAATATATTTGGCTAAACAATTTGTATATGAAATTACTATTATATTAAAATTATTTGTTTTGTGACTCAGCCTAAATATCTTTCTGCACAACTTGTGAAAATATATTTTAGGCTGCCCAATTTTTTAAAACTTTTAACGCAAATTTATAAATTTTTCATAAGAAATAATTATGAACTAGTGGGTTATAAATTTTAAGGGCCGGACAGCACTAAAATTTTGACCAGACAAGTTCAGAAATGATTATAAAATCATTTTTGGCAGGCCTAGAATAACCACTGATTTACATTTGAATTAAATTTATGTCATACTAGGTTGATCATTTAGCTAGGGCTATTCGCCAAGAAGAGGTTGTAAAACTTAAAACTTACACTCAAGATTTGATGGAACAAAGGAAAGTTAATTGGGAAAAATTGGAAATATTGCGAATACAAAACGAAGAAAAATCTAATGCATTAGGACTAAAAGAAAAGGATAGATTGTCTCGTATAAAATATGATATAATTAGCATGGTTGAACAATTGAAAGATGTCCATGGACCAGCATATCAGGTTATTATTTTAAATATTCAGGTTATGCATGATATAAGAACTATTAAAATGACAGTAAGCTAAAAATATATTTATATTGATATGATACGATAAAACAGTACTTTATATATAACATAGGGACTATTTGAAATGAAATTTTTTTTTAATTACCTCTTTCCACTCTGATAAAAATTAGTATGAAAGTCAGGTTCAGGCCTAAAAACAATTAAAAAATTCTGTCAGCACTTAAGCCAAATAAAATCTGCAGGGTTTCATTTCATAATTTAATCAATGAACAATTAAGAAAAAACTCAAAATTCAAATTTTTATTAAACTTTTCATCTTATCTCCATTAGAAAAATTAATTGCAACCTTCAAATTTTATCAACTGTGTATTTACTGAAATCTAATGTTTACTTTCAATAATAGCATAACAAACAATTTGCAGTCATATTTTTAATCAAAATTGTCAATAAAAATTCATAATTTTAATATATTTAAATTTCAAATTAATATAAAAATAATCAAGGCATAATAGATGCCGAAAACACGGGTTTAAATAGTATATATGGCACATTGATAGGCGGTTAAAATTATTTTTGAAACAATAAATATATATATGGGAGGGTGAATTTAAAATATTTTTCAAGTGAAATGAGCTATATTGTACAATCTTATTTAACTTAATATTTGATTAATTTTTTCACAATACAAATCTCACTATATACGATAATTTTTTATTACTGGTGAAAAATGGAAATATAATGTAAATTTTGCTTAAAATTAATTTCCTCTTAAGTAGCAGCAGACTAATTGGATGAAAGAGTGTCCATGAATGCTTGATTATCTATCATTTGGATTGTTAAATTTATGGTATTAAAATTTATTTAAATGATTGTGAAAATAAAAAACGGGTTTTTATAAGTAGAACTACTCGTTGATGAAACTACTGGATGCATATTTAAAATTCAAATAGGCGGCCAGTGGAGCGCAACTTTTTAGCTGCACGACATAATATTTATTTATAATATATAGATTAAAATATTTCTTTTTGTCTAATTTATCTGAATTGATTGAAACTGTTTTACAAATGATATTTTATTTTTACGACTTATTCTAAAGATATAAAAATAATTTATAGATCTATTAAATGAATTAAGCAACACCCATAATGTAAATGAGAATATATTATACTATTAAAAAATTGATATTACATATAGTGTTGCATTACTTAAAAATTTTGTGGGCTACGATTTTTTATATGCTATTAAAAAATACCATATATATCGGACCTGCAAAGATACCATTTGCACGGCCCGTCATGGATTTTTTTAAAATTTATTTTTATTTTATAGATAATGGCGAATTAAAATATTTAGTTTTAAAATACAGGCCTGGCTTAGGTTCTGGTCAACAGGTTTCTGATATATATAAAATCGATTTTTTTTGTTACAAATACGATAAAATTCTTTATATTATATAAAAATAATGTCACAAATTTAATGCCACCGATATCTATACAAATTAATATATAGGTCATTCCATCTCAAATCAATCATCAGATTTTGTTAAAATTTGGTATTTAAGTTAATAAAGTATTGTAATTGACCAATTCAAAATATTAGATTATTAACTCTATCAGAACCGGAGATATAGAACTTCAAAATGGCTCACAGTTTGGTCATTTTTCCAAAAAAATGATTTTTTAAAATTGGGATAAAGATGTTCTATGCATATCTATTATGGCTCATTTTATAGCCCTAAGTAAACTCTTGAACGTATGTTAAATAAAATTAATTTTTAGTTTATATATTTTTTTAAATTTGCGGTTAAAAATTAATGAATTTTTCAAAATGTTAGACTTAATTTTTTTTTCCAAATTTCAGATATTTTTTAAAAAGTACCAAGAACTATTCATATAAAAAATTTCAGAGTGGGGCCAAAAAAATTAATTAGGAAAAATCTAATTTTTGGGAAAAGATGGCGTAAGTAGTTACAAAAATATCGATTTTAACAATATAAGTCAATATAAGAAATTTTTTTTATTCCATAATAAAATATTTATCGAATGATTAATAGTAAACATAATATTTAAAATAATTTTAATATAATTTCTTTAAATTTTATTTATATATTGCCATTTTAAATTCATCATTAGTTAAAGTAGTTCTTCCTGCGGATATGGCCACATAACTTATACGATTTAATACATTATTTACTTTATAATATATACCAAATGGATGTAGGGTAACTTAGGAAGTGGCCCAATGATAACCTTGGAATCATCTTGAAGTATAAAAGAGTAATTTTCAGATAAATCACAGATAACCAAATAATGATCTTGCTCTAAATTGTTTTTAAGATTCTGATGGAATCTATTTTGCTGTTGAGTAATAAAAGCACGGCGAATCAAAAATTTTCAAATTAGTAATTATGAAATATGTTAGCTGTTTGTGTTAAGGTCTCTAGATTGTTCTATCTACAGATATCCATTGCTTAAACGTTATCCTGTATATATCATGTGCAATTAATAAATTTTCTAATTTAGCCCTTAATGCTTGGTCCCCAGGACATCAAAATAACAGGCTGGTAGGGGATGATTGCTGGAATTATGTTTTTGTAAGTCTTTATTTCAAAACTATTTTTTATTAAAGTTGCTAAATTGCTGTGAATGCCACTTGAACCTGGCATTATGCAATTTTTAGGGCGCAATGAGGCGATAATCCGATTTTAATAAAAGAGTAGATAGCTTTAACATTTATTATAGATTTCTTTTAAGTTATTAAGAATTAACGATTTTTGAACATTAATCCTTTCATCATTTTCAATTATAGAAAGGTAATCTTTTTTCCGGGCAGTAACCTACTATATTCATCGTAATAGAAACTTTTTACAACGTCAACTGTGCTCTGATCTATGGTTTTACTTGCCTTGGGATTAGAAGTTGAATGAATCACCTTTTGACCAAGAATGAATTTTGAATTACGGATCATATAAAACGAAGCGTTAAATTTTTTTAAAATTTTGTGAATGCTCCAATTTGAAGTAATGTCGTTAATAATTGATATTTTTGTGTTTTAGACAATAATGGATAGTTATTTATATTTTTCATATGAATCATCAAATCGTCGCTACCATTTGTATTCATCTTTGGTTGAAGAATTTTGTCAATAGCTTTTTGAAAGTCTGCATAGCTTTTTTCTTGGGATATTCGTTTTCTCCTAGTCTCTTTTTTTTATTGAAGATTGCCCCATTTGATTTGAAATAGAATTTAAGGATTCTAAAAAAAGTGTAGGGAGTTGCACATTGTCGTAAATTGGATTATCATTTTCTCTATCGGTGGAGTTTAAGAAATTATTTGAAGTTGTAGGGATAATACCATTCTTCTTTTTATATAAAAATTTGCCACACTTAGGACAAATATATTCTCCTTTGTTAATTTTATGATACAGTGTCATCCAAAACGTCACTTTCTTAAACCTTTTTTTGGAATAGTGATTGGAAGATTCAATGGATTTGTACAAAACATATTAATAAGTTAATTTTAAAAATTACAAATTTTAGGAAAAATTAACAGTTAAAATATCGATAAATTATTGGAAAAAAATTAATCGAAAAATAAATAATTTAATTAATGCTTACTTAATAAATTTTATTATCTATAAATTAAATTCAATGAAATTTAATTAAAATTATTTTAAATATTATGCTTACTATTAATTATTCAATAAATATTTTATTATGGAATAAAAAAAAATTATTAGATTGACTTATATTGTTAAAATAGATATTTTAAACAACTTACGCCATCTAGCGGATTTTTTAAAACAAAGATTTTTCCTAATTAATTTTTTTGGCCCCACTCGAAATTTTTTATATGAACAGTTCTTGGTACTCTTTACAAAATATCTGTAATTTACGGGAAAAATTTTGGTCTAACATTTAAAAAAAATTATTACAATTTTTTAACCGCAATTTTAAAAAAATTTACAAACTAAAAATTAATTTTATTTAACATACGTTCAAGAGTTTACTTAGGGCTATAAAATGAGCCATAATAGATACACATAGTGCATCTAATTTATACCAATTTAAAAAAATCATTTTTTTCGAAAAATGACCAAACTAAGCCATTTTGAAGTCCTATATCTCCGGTTTTAATAGAGGTAAGAGTCTAATATTTTGGATTCGTCAATTACAATACTTTATTAACTTAAATACCAAATTTTAACAAAATCTGAGATGGTCGGGTTGTAAAGTGATTGATTTGACATGGTAAAACGATTGGTATTTTGCATTTTTACCATAAAATTTGAAACAAAAACTAGACAGAAATTATAGATTTATATGTAGCCAAATTTCTCATCCACAAAATAAAAAAGTATAGCTCTTAATATTTAGGAGTTATGATTATATGAAGTGTGCCATTATTGCTATTTTACCCCATAGCCAGGGTAAAATAGTTAAGATAAACATAACTTTATTGTTTTATTAAACAAAATATTTTAATTTTGACATCATTCATCACTTTTAGATATAAACTAATTAATACAATATTGAAATGGAATTTTTTTTAATTATAGGCACATTTAGAGTTTAACCATTTTAGGCACATTGTACATTTCAATTCTTCCCCTTTGCGACGATTTTTAAAATTTTATTTCATTAATGTTACCTTTTTGCTCAAAAATATCTTTTTATATGGTATAGACGTGAATATTTAGAAATTTTTGTTTTTTAACTTTCATTAGATTGGACATTTTAACCGTTTTACCCATACAACTTTACTCTTGCGTTACTTCTAGTTAAGATATAAACGTCTTAAAAAAATTTTTTATAACAATAACTTTAAGTAACATCTATGAAAAATTTTAAGCCTTAATATATTTTGGTAAAACAAAATAAACTAGATGGTAATTTTTTGGTAAAAACGGGGTTTTAGCAAAATATATTAAACCAGGAAAGTAAAATATGAACCTAGGTAAATATGATATAAATATACATTCATAAATTTATTGATATATTGTCAAAGCCTAGCAATCATTTCATATTCATTTAATTTGAATCTTTGTCAGACCAATTTTCTTTTTGAATAAAGAACATATCGGAAAGAATTTCTAAAATAAAAAATTATTAAAATTTATTCAAGTCATTTTATCCTCGTTTTCAAAGCTATCCAGCGGGACAGCATGATACTTTTTAGAGAAATTATAAATTAGTCTTTAATTTTACAAGTTTTGGATTTCTTTTTTATGCTTAATTTTTAAATAAAAGTATAATTTCTGAATCGAGCGACATTTGTAAATATTGACCTACATAAAGTTTACATGAGAGAGGGAGTAGGAACAATATTTACCTTCATTTTAAAGTGCGAGTGGGGCACCCAAAGGGGGGGGGGGATATTGTAAAATAAAAGCCCACCTTTGTAAAAATTTCAGTGGGAGGGGTCTCAGCCCTTTTTACCCATGTTTACTTATTGTAATTACAACTTTGATGATATGAGCATGTGTTAGTATATGATATGAATATCGCCGGCTAGGTTAATAGTCAACGGTACTATAAAGCATAATGCAAGTGTCCACCAAAATCCTACGCAGTATGCTGAAAGCCAGATAATTTCATTAATGATAAAAATGATAGTATTGATGAATTTCTTATATACTACACTATTATTTTTGGTATCAATATATGGTACCGGTCTATGCCATGTTAATATCTGTGGTGTTACTTTTAGTTTTCGAATCGGTATCGCTAAAAAATAATATGCATTTTCGCTAAAAGCATCATCAAATTATTCCTTATAATTTATCATTTTTAAGGATACTGTTTTGAACAAATCCAGTAGTTGTATTTCTTTTCAAATGGTTGTTTTTTTTCTTTAATTCATATATTAATATATTTTAGACTGCCTTAATAAATTTCGAACAAGATTTGATTGACGAACGTGCGAAAAGATTAAAAGCAAGAGCGGACGAAAGAAAAAGAGAAAGGAAAGCCCGTTATGAACAAAGAAGAAATCTCGGTAATTTTATCAATTTCTCTCTTTCATTTATTTTTTTTATATAATTTTTTCTTATTATAATATTTAAGCTCGCATTTAGTCTTGAAATTTATCTTCGTTTTTTACATACATCGTTATATATCACTGTTAAAAAAATTTGGAAACCCGACACCTGAAATTCCAGACCTGACCCGAAATAAATAATCACAATTTCTTGAGGGTTGAGTTGCAAGCCTCTAGTTTGTGTCTAAATTTTAAATTAATTTATTTTATTATTAATTGTATATTTTAAAGTAAATCATTACTAGGGAGGGGTATTTTTCCAGGTTGACGTTATTTAATGGATATCTCTTTCAGGAATAATTTCAAATGATTTTAACAGAATATTAGGATATTTTAAATCAGTCGTATATATTTATTATTTTATCACGATTGGAGTTGCATAACAAGGTTTTTAGAAGTTAGTCAAGCGATGAGAAGATTTTTTACTGGTTACAGATGTACAAAAGTCTGTCCTCGTTTGATTTGGAAGTTCTGCAAGTACGAGTGTCCATTTGTTTTCAATAGATTAGTAGTGCATCCTTTTCTGTTACTCTAGATTGCTATTATTATTATAGTTGTTTGACAAGGAGTTCTACCTACTATTTTTGCTAGATATGAATTCTGTTAAAGAAAATTATTGTGGAATTAAAATATTTATTTTTAAATTTACCAATGTTAAAAATAAAAAATTTAATAAAATAAAGATTCGGCGAATCCATATTATATTTAATCTTTTTTTAAATACACTTATTTTTGGAAATTTTTATTTATATATATTTATATATATATAGATAAACAGAAACCTTTTCTCTCTAACCAAAATAAAAAATTATCAGCAATTTTTTTTTCGAACCAGAGAAGTTTAAACAATTTTATATGATTATAGAGCGAATATTCGGTGGTATTTACTATTGGATTAGATTATAATTAATCTTTAATAGCTAGTTGGTCATAGACCTGCCAAAATATGAGCGTACGTGAATTATATGAAGGCCCATCCTTCATATAATTATGCCGATTTTTTTTACTCAAGGATTCCAACAAACCTTGTAACCCAGATGGGTAATTCCATACCAAATCGATAACTTTTCGGCCCGAGATTTTTAATTTCGATAAAATTTTGTATGCTTAGAGAATATCATTTGAAAGCATCGAATCCAAAATTTTAGCTTCCTAGTACTCATAGTTCCAGAGATATCAATAATCAAAAGTGCCAAAAATGACCTTTTTTCGAAAAATACGATTTTTTGAAATTGAGATAAGGTAAAAAATAATGATTTTAAAAATATAAGTTATATGTCATTTTGTAACTCTATTAAAGGCCTTTTATTAAATATTAAAGATTTTTTTGAAATAATATTGTTGCGGTTTTTATTTACGTTATAAATTTTAAACATAAAAATTCCAGATGTTTCGCTTTCCAAATTTTTTTGAATTTAATATTTTCTTATTCTCTAACCTTATATCTATTTATAAAAATATTTAAACTTGGAACAGCCATGGGTTTTTTAGTTATTACGATTTAAAAAATCAAAAAATAAATATTTTTGGCGCTCTTTTATAAAATAACTTATTTTGTTATAATTATTATTTTTTTAAATTTTTTTCACTTTTAAACATAAATAATAAGATTTTTCAGCATTACTATCAGGAAAAAATATTATATAGATCGTTTGATAGGCTTACTTATTATTAGAGATTTGCAAAGTTAGGCCCGGCCCGGACGGGCTTTGTGCCTAATTCTATTTAAAATAATCGGATTCGGGCCGGGCTAATATTTTGAAATAAATTCAGGCTGGGTCGGGTCGGACCTTAGAAACTTTTTTAAATATATATAAATTTATCAATTTTATATTGAATTTTTATGTAAAATAAAAATATTTGATTTTATTTATTGAAACTAAACGCTATATAGCACATGTCTTTTATTTTGAGTAATTATAAAAATTAATTCCTATATTTAAATAAATTCGGGCCGGGCCGGGTAAAAAAAATTTCGGGTTTGGGCCGGGCCGGGTAAAAAATTTCGGGTTCGTACCAGGCCGGCGAAACTTTTTTAAAAAAAATTTCGGGCCGGGCTGGGCTTGAAAAATTAGGCTCGATGCAGATCACTACCTATTATTATTGCTATATTGATAACTTGTAAATAGTTTTTATAATAAATGATTAAATTACCTAAAAAGATAGTTAAGATTCCGATATCTCATACAAGAAAATATAATAATTAATTGTTGAAAGATAAAAGCTAGTTTTCATGTACCTGCCCTAATATTAATTAATTTTTATTTTACAAATAATTTGATATTAATTATTTTTCTTCTTAAAATTATTTATAATGTATAAATATAAATGCGTAAATCCTTTTAAAGAATCTAAACACTTTAATTATAAAAAGAACCTGCGCAAAGTCATGACGTGGATGACACAATATCCAAACATTGAGGCGGAACATTATATTTGTGATAAATGCCGTAAAAGGTTATCACAAAAAAAATATCGAAAATATAAATTCTGATAGTGAATATGTAAATAACAGCATCAACATCAATAGATAAAATCAATATAACTTTAAATGAAATAGGAATATCTCCTATTAAGAAAAAAAAACTAACCGAAAAAAAGGCAGCAAAAATAACAAAAGCGATAAAGATATAATAATTAACAATCCAGATTCGGATACGAAAGATAATAATGATATACTCAATAACATGAAATTACAATATCCCAATTTATCTAAAAATAAAAAATATCAATTGCTGACCATTTTGCCTCCCAATTGGAGCGCAAATAAAATAAAAACGACATTCAACGCTACATATCATATGACATATAATTCCAAAATCATTTTAGAAGAAAAGGGGAGTCTTTCAACTCCAAATCGAAAGCCTGCAAAATATCTCAATCAAAAAACAGTTGATATTGTTTAAAAAAAATTTTGCATTGATAAAGTTAGATATTACCAAGAAAAAAAAATTGCATATCTATCATTGAAAAGGGGGAACGAGTGAACGCTCAAAAAGGTTAGTTCTTAATAATTTGAAAGAATTATATAATCATTTTAAGGCGAGTAATTCAAACTTAACAATTGGATTTTCGAAATTTGCTAGCTTAAGACCAAAAAATTGTATATTAGCAGGGGCTAGCGGAACACATAGTGTATGCGTTTGTAGCATACATCAGAATATTAAACTTATGATTTTAAGCTGTGAATTAGCAACATTGACTAAAAATGTTGAGGATACATTAACAACTTATAGAGATGTTATAGGCAGAATGATTTGCAATCCCCCGTTACCCACCTGTTATTTTGGTGACTGCAACGAATGTCAATATATCCACGTGAATATATATGATTGAGGATCTGAAAATCGATGAGATTAGAGGATATGTAACATGTGCATATGAAAACGATTGGTAATTAGGATTTGTACAAGAAGTGAATGTATTAAGAGATGAAGTAAAAAATAATTTTCTTCACCCTAAAAGGACCAGCAAATTCTTTTGTTTATCCAGCTGCACAAAATATCCTTTTCATACCAAAAAATAATATTTTAACAATAGTTAGCCCATCAACGGCTACTGGGCGTACATATATCGCAAAACGAAATTTTCATGGCGTCAAAAAAACTAAATTTAATGAAAAACCGAAAATAGGTAATATCTTTCATGAATTCTAATTTATCCTATATATCTTAAAAATTTATAAAATAATTTTTCGAAAATTAAAATTTTTTACAAAAAAAATGATTATAACCGCAGCTAAATAATCTCATTTCATGATATTAATGCTGGAAAATCTTATTATTTATGTTTAAAAGTGAAAAAAAGTTTTAAAAAATAATAATTATAACAAAACACGTTATTTTAAAAAGGAGCGCCATCTATTTTTGAAAAAAATATTTATTTTTTGATTTTTTAAATCGTAATAACTAAAAAACCCATAGCTGTCCCAAGTTTAAATTTTTTTTATGAATTGATATAAGGTTAGAGAATAAAAAAAATATTAAATTCAAAAAAATTTGGAAAGCGAAACACCTGGAATTTTTATGTTTAAAATTTATAACGTTAATAAAAACCGTAACAATGTTATTTCAAAAAAATCCTTAATATTTAATAAAATGCCTTTAATAGAGTTACAAAATGACATATAACTTATATTTTTAAAATCATTATTTTTTAACTTATCTCAGTTTCAAAAAATCGTATTTTTCGCTAAAAGGTCATTTTTGGCACTTTTGACTATTGATATCTCTGGAACTATGGGTACTAGGAAGCTAAAATTTTGGATTCGATGCTTTCAAATGATATTCTCTCAGCATACAAAATTTTATCGAAATTAAAAAGGTCGGGCCGAAAAGTTATCGATTTGGTATGGAATTACCCAGATATGAAGTAAAAAAAGGGTGGGACTACATTCGAGCTATTTGTATATGTTAGTAATTATTATAGCAAAGGAAGAAAAAATGTAAGAATAAAAAAAGGTTCTTCTTTCCAAAAAATTATTTTTTATTTACTAAATTTTATTTGTAAAAATTAAATTGGGTATTATTATTTGGAGGTAGTAAATAAATAAATAATAACAAAGAGAGAATTAAAAAAATGGTGGACAAGAGAAGATACTTAATTTTAGTAAAAAAATTAGCTAACTCGCTGAATCACGGGGAAATTTTTAATATTATTATTTTTTTTTTTTTTAATATATTTATTTTATTTATTTTTTTAATAATAAATATAAGATCGTTTGGATATTTTTTTGGTGTAATTTTACAATAAAAACGGAGTATATTTAAAATTTAAAAAAAACAGAGTAAATTTGAAAGTTTAAAAAAACGAAGCATTATTCAAATTGAATTTTGGTGTATTTTTACAATAAAAACGGAGTAAAAATTTTTAAAAAAAGGAGTATATTTTAAATTTTTAACAAACGGAGTATATTTATGAAATTAAAAAACGGAGTATATTTAAGAATTTAAAAAAACGGAGTATATTTAAAAATTTAAAAAAACGGAGTATTTTATTTGTGAAAATTTTCATAATTCTTGCAATTTACTATTAAACTAATACTAGATAATTAATCAACTTATTTGAATAAACATAATATATACAATGATAATATAATATATTTTTAAGGAAAAACAAAAATAGTTCTATATAAATTTATATCATTTAAAAATTTAATTTATTTATATTAGACATATTTTTAATATTACGAAAATATGAATATTCACATACATATAAATGAGAGGAAGATTTTCTTCCATTTTTGGGGATGCTTGCCTTAAGATCCCTCCATGAACACTTAATACGTTGAGTGTGGGTTGATATATCATAGGGTCTATAAAGTTTTTGCTATGATTGACAGAGTAATGATCATATCCATTTTCATTCAAATTGTTAAGATTTATCAATATTTAATTTACCCCTTCCATTAAAAAATTTCTACCAAAATCTAGAAGATCTTATATTTATTATTTTTTATAAAAAAAATAAATAATATTAAAAATTTCCCAGTGATTCAATGAGTTACCAAAAATTACAAATAAAACATAGTATATTAATAATAATGAAAAAAACGTGTTTTGGAAAAAGTAGGTTTTTTATGTTAAAAATAAATAAATAATATTCTAAATTAGAAAATATTTTTTTAAAAATTTAGACTTTAAAAGAAATAAAAAAATTTTCGTAAATTAAAAAATAAAAATAAAAGATGGAGGATAAATTTAAAAAGAAAAAATAGAGGGTAAATTAAAGTAAGAAAAAAAATGAAGGAAAAAAATATAGTATTAGAGATAAAAGGTTATTAAAAAATATGCAATTTTTATAATAATTTGGAAGAAGGTAAAGTAAAGGGAGTAATGAAATTATAAAATATATTAATATCATCTTATTTGAAATCCATAAGAATATTTGTAAATTGACATCATTAATGCAAGAATTGTTTGGTTTCAATTATCCTAAAAAGTAAAGTATAAAATATATAATTTAATTTGTAGTCAATAAGTTTCTATTGTAAATTATTCGAAACAAATTGAATATTAGATTCTTTTATGAATAGATTTTTCATATAATTGATTATCCGGTTGGTGAAAAGTTTATGTCACGGCACAATAGGAGATTATTGGAAAACAAAGTCACACATTTTTTAGTAACAATTTGACTATCTTTAGGGCGCGGGATGTATCAATACCACTTGAGGGGTAATAAGTTTTTATTTGACTTTAAGCTAGTTTTTCTCGAAAAATAAACTTTCCTATACAACAAATGTTTTACAGGAGTGATAGATATAAAAGATAATAAAGATACATATAAATATTTAATTACGTTACTTATGTCGTTACATTTCAAAACTATTTATATATTTTTTTTGCAAGAATAGAACTCGTTACCCTTAATAACACCATGGATTGAGACCACAGGCAACTCATTGAACCCGGGGTAAAATTGACACATGTCGGGTTCGAACCTCTCTTAGAAAATTGGTTTCGATTAAGTTTCTATTATCAAAATTTTCACTCAATAGGGTTGAAAATTCTTGAACCCTGGTTCGGGTTCACATCCCTGATTAACTACATATTTTGATATTTATTTTTTGGGGCCTTGCAGGCATGTGAGCAATATAATTCATTCCTGCAATTTTTTAACACTCTTACTTTTTATTTAGTTAACCACGAATTTGCGGAAATTTTACAAAAAGATTATATAAATACAGCATATTTTGTATACTTCGCCATGAATTTGCGCTAACTATGAATGCAGGGTTAAGTCTATGTCTTCGCTGGTAATTAAAAATGCACATATTCACGATTTTTATTTTCGCAAAATATGAACTAATATATAGACATGAGTAGGTAACCAAATTACACAGACTTGCCATATTTTGATAACTACACGGAAGGCGACAATAAATAAATTTAATTACTTTTATTATCTCATTTATTAACAAAAATCTGTCTTATATATATATTTTTTTATAATATGATATTTACATATACAAAATTTAAGAAAAGAAGAATTTATTTTTAAGGTTAAAGAAAAAGAATTTATTTTAAGGTTAACTAAGTAAAAAAAGAAAAATTAACAAAGTAAGAAAATAAAATCTTGTTTTTAAGGTTAAATAATTTAACTGACCTTTAAAAGTTTGATTTTATATTTAACAATTATAAAACAAATAATAATGATAATATTTGAAAATACACGCGCCACAATAAATTAGCGACGCCATACAATTTAATTGACGGTTTTGACAGGGAAAAATTGCCGATTCCAATCAGCTGATCATAGGTCTACTTTATAGGCCAACAGTTTATATCTTCTTTTTTAATTGCATTGTAAATTAGTTGTCAAAATATTTTAACAGAGAGAGAAGAAGAAGAGAGAAGAACCAGGTACGAGGAGGATAAAAGAAGTAGGTATGACGAAGATAAAAGGAGTAGGTTTGACGAAGAGAGGAGCAATAGAGCACCACCGAATTCTCTTTACCAACCACCTATGCGTCAACAACAAAATTTCGATCAACCTAGCAATCAAAAGTTACATCATATGCTCTTTGATATTATTTATTTAATTTTCTTTTAAAATGTTTTTTCTCGTTATAATGATAAAATATCATAATTGTAGCATTTAGTGCGCTGACTTTAGGAATCAAATTGAATATTTTATCTATTTTAAAAATATTCCCAAATATAAAATAGGATTATTTGCTGGATTCGTCCATGCAAATAAAAATTTAAACGAATAATAATCGAATGTTAATTTGTAAAAAAATTCAGGCCGCGTTTTTTGACCTGTCCCTAATTTTTATCAGGATTTTTTAATTAAAAAATTACTTATTAATGTAATTATTTTTATTTTAAAAGTTACTACAAAAGAAAGTTATATAAAAATTTTATTTTAACGAATGATATAATACAAATTTATATTAATTTACATGAAATGATTTAAAATAATCGTTTTTATATGTAAAACATAACATTTGGTACAAATCACTTTAGTAACCAATTTACACGTCCAATCTGCTATTAAATTCCATGTCTTATTAAATTCTACGGAATCGGCCCTTTACAACATTTTTCTCAACATTTGGCATCAATAGACACTTTTTTATTCAAGGGTTCATTTTATTGTATTCGCAGAGTACCTCTGCTATCTATTTTTTCTTTTATCAGAAATTTTAAAGATACACAATCTCGGCTCTACAATAACCAAGAATTTATAAGCATCTATCAAATATATGAAATACTATACATTGATACATCTAATGTTTATACGCTATAAAGCAATCAATGAGTTAATTATATCTACAACTTCGATAATTTTATTATAAACTTTATTTGCTGCTGGGCATGAAGTTTTATTTTTCCATCATTCCTTTTTATCAAACCGTTCACAATCTTTGATAAATATCTTTAAGGAAATTTTCAAAAATCCGTGTTTTATAATGTACCTATAGAATCAATATCTGCTGATCTTGAAGCATAAACTCCCTCATCTGATGAGCCACTAATATTTGAATCTTAACTATCCTCAGGAACACAATACTTTTTTACTATAAAAGGTTCTAACTTTAGATAAATAGCTATCTCATATTATCAAAAAAAACATTCATATTGTGTGGTATCTGGGTTCACATTCCTTAAAACTTAACAATATATTTTTATATAAAAATTTCTTTTATCTTCAGAGTTGGTTGGGTCAACTGGCCATACTTTAAAATGAGGATATTTTATTTAGATCTGGTACATAACTATTTTTATCATTAACCTTATACTATTTGTTTCTAATATTTATTAACAAAATTATTTCATTTTTATGTTGCCATTCATTTATGCGATTGACCTGTGAATCTTCAATTTCAATGACGTCAATTCAAATAAGATGGAGTAATTATATATTTACTAAATGTCGAAACTCACATAATATATTTTTATTTATATAGGTAGAGGTGTTTACCAAAATCAGAATAAATTTATTCCTGAACAGAAGTACCATTATTAAACATATTTTTCTAATGTATACCTTGATAGCACTTTTATTTTTTTTAATATATAATTTTATTATATGATACATACTTATATTTATTATATCATTAAATGTATAAGAATCCTTTTTTTTACAATTTTGTTTAGTATGAACAGCAGGAACATTCGAACCAGGTTAAATATGCTCTTCAATCTTATTTATTAATTTTATACATATCAAATTTTTATTAGCTTTTCAACTCAACAAAGCAATGACGATGAACTGCCCTGGAGGAGAGGTTTCTTTTAAATATTATTTTTAGGATTTATTTTTTGTTATAACAGCTGATACTGGTAATAAAAATAGCCCGAACATGCAACGATCATATATGAGCAGGAATAATACAAGTTAATTAATTTGAATTTAAAAATTTATATAACACGTTTTTTAGGCTACCCATCACATTATCGACAGCAAGAATGATTTTCAAATTATACTTTTATTTTGAAATAATTTATACCCTTTACATGTAAGTAGCAATATTCATCCGAGGAGGGTCTTTATATTTTAACAAACATACATGGTGTATTATTAAAATTATTATTTACAATTTAACTAATTATGATTTTGTGGTTTATTTTAATTTTATTGTGAAAAAATAAATTTTCATGCCTAAAATATTAAAATTCTATTATTTTTTTGTATTAAACATTGAAATTTTTAGTTTATATATTTATTATTATATTAGCTTTATATAATTTATTTAGATTGCATATAACTAAATATTTATGATTTTTTTTCTCACAACTCGAAATATTCAATAAAATAATCCCAAAATTCTATTAATTGGAATACAGATCAAATATTTTTTGTCCAATCCAAATATTTTTTTATGATCTGATTCAAACTCATATTTTCGCAATAGTCTCATCCTTTAGAATTTGTCAGTATCAGATTTAGCCTCATTTTTTAGAAAATATATAGTCCATTTAGTAAGTATCCAAGGGAAGAAATAACTATTTTTAAAAATTCTTAGTATGAAATATTTTATTTTCTTGGCTATATAAATGAATTTTAATTTACATTTTAGAAAAAGAAGAGACACATGTGAAGTTTCAAATTAAGAATTTAACTAAAACTAAGGTACATCCGGCCTCTGATGATAAATTTGCAGGCTCCAGGATGTTTGTTATTCAGACCCTCGTAAGAATGTTGCTAATAATAGAATTAATCACTGCATGTCTGCCCTGGCTATATATACTATTACATGTCCTCCTAGAATCAATCAACATTTTATACATGTATGTGATTGAACGATGTTACATTAATTTCGGTGGCCTATGACACTTAATTGTTTGTCTGGTAAGAGGTTATCTAGGTTTTGGCTTGGTAATTTCGAATCATAGGGGAAATTTTTTTTAAAGGTATATTTAAAACTTGAAGAAAACCCTAATATAATTACTCATTTTGTATTTCCCATAAAGTTTTATATTGACTAAATAATATATTTGTGTGTTTCTCTTTGTTATATTCATTAACATTTAGAATTGCGATATGATTTGCATTGTAGTACGTAAATAAGATTTAAGACGTGTTAGTCTTAAAAATTGTCGTCCTGCAGAACAATCTCTTACGGGTATTATAGCATTTTAATAAATTTTAGATATTATATGCAAAATAATTTATTTTTTACTTTGTTCTGTTAACATGGTTATGACGTCCTCTAATAAGTTTATTGTATATTTTTCCAACTTTGAGTAGTTCAAATACATATCCATATCAAGAATTAAACGATCCATTTCAAAATCGGTTCAATAAAAAACTGCTTATTTCTCAAGTTAATGAATCGTGAATTGCAATTAAATGATCAATTTTGGTTTGTTGAAACGATTTTTCATACCTTCAATTTTATGATCTAAAACTTTATAATAAATTTGTTAGTAATATTCAATAACTGACCCTAAATGATGGTAAGATAAATTCGAATCTTAAAGGCGTTCTTTCTATCGCTATAAAACAGGGCCCTCTAAATTTAATTCCTTAGTTTTTATAACCTCTCCAAAACTTATCGATAATATCACTTGCCATATTGCATCTAATATTCTGATCAGGATTTATATTTTACATTTTGAAAATTTAATGAAGAACTTTGGATTTAATTTAAAACTTCTATGCTCAAATATTGTTATCATTTTTAAAAATAAAAGCTTTATTTGATGTAATCAACTTTTTGTTCTTAAGCACAAGCAACCTCATTGTTAAATGTATTTGCATTCTAATAAAAGTTTTATGATTATTTCATAATTCCTTTTTATTGATTTTAGCGATATTATTCGCATACACCATCGTAGTGGGGTATGACGGCCTTAAAAACTGTTTTGGGAGATTATTGAACAAAACATAATAAATCCTTCATTAACTATAAAATCGCTAATTTTTGCAATAGTATTAAATGAATCTTGTATTACAAGATATGTGACTTGCAAAATGTACATAGATTGCTCTAGATACTTCATTATGATGACGTGTTAGTAAACTCAATATTCCACTAACCTTAGAGGATTCAACATAACATTGTTCTCTGCATTTTTGATGTCTAAAAAATAAGTAATATTTATTTGATTAATTTTTTTAATTGATCATTTTCAGATTCTAAATTCATATTTTTAATTTCATATGATTTTCACTTACAAAATGTAGACTTAGTGCCCTTAATTTTCTTTACAATAATTTATGACAAAAGATTAAAAAATAAGACCGTTTTTATTTTTGCATATTACTTACAAAATAAATGACGAATATATAACAAAAAAGATATAAAAAATACATTTAAAAAATTTGATATTTTGATTTTGACTTTCTCTATTCCTATTTCTACATATTACGACCCTTAAAATATATTTTTATAAATTTGCTTTAATTTATTGGTTGTCCTCGATCACCAATATCCAAATAGTGATGCATCCTATAATAATTTAAAAAGTCATAAATCGATGTTACATTTTGAACTATTTCTTTTATTTAGTCGGGAATTGATGGTCCGTTATTTGTTTTTTATTAATCATTGGATTGAGCTGGAGCGAATAGGGTGGTAAGGTAAATATTCTATTCGCTCCTTAATGCTATCAATGGGATAACCTTTATTGATCGAAGTAATTTCCTTAACAATAATGCATCACTTGGTAGAATATTAATAAGTTCTATGATATACTCTCGAAATAATCAACGAAAGTATCATACCTTTGCAGGCGCGTAGCCAGGAATTCTCTAAGGGGGAGGGGGATTGGATAGAATTATCATCGTATAAAATTTATAAAAACTAATCATAAAATTTATTTATGGTTTAAAAAACATAGCTATGTAAATAAGATAAAAAAGTTAGCCAAAATAAAGTCCATAAATGAAAATTAAGGTCCGTGAAGTTGGCGGAACAATGTGAGGATCAATTAACAAAACCTATGCTATATTTAGAGTCTTAATTGATCTTCAAACCATGCATCAGCGGAATCAATGGTTTATGAGTTATAAGCAAAATAAGGAAAGTGTGAAATTTTGAAGCTGGCGGAACGATTTGAGGATAAATTACCGAAACCTATACCGTTGTGTAGCTTGTTAATTGATCTTCTATCCGGA